ACTTGTGGAATACTTCACTGGTTTCTTTGTTTCATGCACACATAGAAGACGCTGGAAAAGGAAGAAGGTCCAGAGCCAGCGGGTGGACAGCCAGCCCTTCCTTCTGCGTAACACCAGTTTTCAGAGCCTGGGCACTGTGCTATGAACTCCTCCCAGTGAGACTGAGTCATCGTCAGCCAGCAGTAAGGAAAGGATAAAATTAGCTCAGCTATTAGTAGAAACGTTTGGCTAATAAATAAAACAGTGGGACATTTTTGTTTAGCAGTGGATGCAACCATAGACAGAGGTATGTCCTGGCTGCTCGCCTGCATGTAAATACTGCATGGCTAAAATGATTTGTTTTGTCCAATCTCAATTAAATTCAACTGAGTGGAAACAAGAGAGCTTCCATGGAGCTGAGCATGTGCCTAAGACTGTGAGGCCAGGAAGCATGAGCTGTGTGTGTCTCAGGGCGTCACTCTTTCCTCCAGCACCCTCCTCCCCACGTCCCTGAGTGCCTTTTGGTTGACATCATGTCTCACGTTGAAAGAGCACTGGGATCTCAGTGGAGAGCCCCGCATGGGGAAGCAGACACTGTAAACACAACATGCATTCAAGTACAGCATGCTGGACCTGCAGCACTGGTCCAGCTCGTTTCATGACACTACAGTCTGCAGTGTGTGATGGAGGTCATCACTGCCCTGGGCAGGACCTGGATCAGGTCCTCACCCTGTGCTTTTCCTTGCAGTGAATTCTTGCTGACTCCCAGGATTTTCCCTCCATTGAGAATAGATCACAAGGTCTCTCCATTGCTGCAGAGCAGGAGCTCACACCAACTAAATCCACCCAGCACTGGAGGCACAACAGGAGACAACACCCATGGGGATGGAGCTGGGAAGCAGGAAGTTGGTGAGAGTGCAGTGGGAGGTGGTAGGGAAGAGATTAAGGACCGGGATAACTTTGTGAACACAGAGAAGCAGCAGCACAAGGTTTTTACTGATCCATGGCAGCAGGGAGGGTGTCACAGTGCTAAACAGCACAGGATGGCCTCACTGGAAAGCAGACCCTGCTGACTCACTGGCTGAGTCACAGCCTTACCCGGCCTCTATTCTTTTCCCAATCAAGGAAACAGCACTTCCCACAAGCTTCTTTTAAGGCTACCGTTTGGATGCTGAGCATTCCTACAGCAAGCCTCCACTCTCAGCAGTCCCCTGTTGAGCCCTTCCATGTCCACAACCCGGCAGGGGGCAGGACCTTTCAAAGCACATGATGTTCTGAGGGAAGAAATGTGCTGCTGCCTTTCCAAAGCAGAAATGGGATTTACTGCTGGTTGGACCCGGACGGCAAAAGACGGTGCTCCTACAGGAAGGGAGGCAAGGGGAAAATTCGATCTGGGAGATTTCCATTCTGGCACTGAACCTCTGCCCTGCTGGGGGACAATGCTCATGGTCACAGTACCAGGCTGCTTGGAAAGAGGAGACCCCATGCCCTGATGGTGGATTTTAAGGGTGGGCAGAAGATAGCTCCAGAGTCTACAGTGAGAGACCCAAAAAATCAGGAAATGAAAATTACCTCGACTAGATTCCCATCTGGATTCAGAAACAATCTGTGGAAAGCAACAATTAAGAGCAATGTTGAAGATGGAAGAAAGGAGAGCCAGGTAACAAAGAGTATGTATGGGAAGCATTAAATAACAGAAAACCACAGGAAATGGGGGAAAAAATCCCTGCATTGGCAAGGCTAAGAGGGAGTTTTTAAAGTCCATGAGGAACATAAACAATCTTCATAATGCTACAGGCCAGGAAGTAGAAGAGAAAACATTAACAAGGTTCCAAACATGCACCAGATTTTTAGAGATGTCTCTATTCTCTTCAGGTGATGACTTCTGCAGTCTTGCAGTAATCTCAGAGAAGGGCCAGCACTTAGTAGAGACCTGCCTCTGAGAGCACTGAGATAATCAAAGAACATTGGTCTCCCAGTGTGATCCACAAGCAGATGTAAAATTGCACTGAGAATATGTACAGGTACCATAAAGTATCTGGGACAGTAACTAAGCAGCCATACCAGTGACACCAGCAAAGCATTTCTTTTCCAGACAGACGCCTTTAACACAGTCAAACATGTTTATTTGTCTCAGCGCAAAGACTACATAGAATTCTTTAACCTGGAAAGCAACAACCATGAGGATTCAGGAGTCACACACACCGGACTCAAGCACCTAGGGTAGTGGCATGGGTAAAAAGGCCAGTGTGATCCTCAGATACATAAACAACCTTGTAGAAAGCTGGGGGAGGAAAGTGATTTTCTCTCTTTAGTTCCTATTAGTGGAGATGACGTTGAAATGGTTCTTATGGTTTTGATGTTATAAATTAAATAGAGAACAAGAAGCAACCTGGTATAGTGGAAGGTGTCCCTGCCTGTGGCAGGGGGGTTGGAACTGTTTATCTTTAAGGTCCCTTCCAACCTAAACCATTCCATGACTCTATGAAAAAGACCTCAAATGGGAGGAAGCAGACAATTCTAAGAGACTAGAAGAGCCCAGCCTGCTTACCTTATCCAAAGGCAGTTGCAAGACTAGACTACAAAGTATAAATACCTGGAGAGAAAACAGGCTTCTAAAATTACCAGAGAAAGGCACAACAGGCAAACATGGCTGGGAATAAAGCCAACTGAAATTAAAACTAAGGTGCAGTTCTCAACTGTGAGCATAATTAATCACTGGAGAAAACGATCAAGGGAAGTGGTGACTTCTGCATTTCATGTTTTCCATGCAGTACGTAATAGCTTTCATGGGGCTCCTACAGCAGAGGAATAACTGAGGGTGCATCCTCAGTGTCAATTACTGTGTGCAAAGAGATCCAAGGCTTAACATGCCACAGGAAAAAAGATACCTTCAGACTTGAGCTGTTTGGTGATTAGAGCAGCCATGGAACAGGGAAGACCTGGGTTTTGTCATTGGTTGTTTAGGTTGCCTGATGACATTTTAATGCATAATCATGGAATCCAGGAATTCCCACTTGCCACCTGTACCACTGAACTTGACTGGTGCTCCCTTTTACATACATGCTCTCTTTCTCAATGAATCTTTAATTCCTTCCCTTACAATCAACTAGTCAGCTTCAAAAACACAGCGAGAACATCCCTAAATATCAAAGCAGTCTAGAGCTGCCTGACTGATGAGGCAATGGTTCTCCACATGTGAGGTCAGCCCTGCTTGGGAAACAGCTATAGGATGTGTCCCGGGGGGGCTGAGAGGCTGCAGTGATATCCACAAGTGCTGGACATGCACTGAGAATAACTGTTGCATGGAAGTCTAAGCATTTGAGCTGGGAGATATACCTGTTATGCCATGGTGAAAGCATGATGTTGAACTTCCTAGTCCTAAACTAAGTCCAGACAAGTTCAAAACTGGGCAAAACTCTGCATGTTTAGAGGTCTTAAAACCCATAAGTTGTGGACCTGTGAAGGCTGGGCTCCTCTGCAACAACACTAAGGTTGGATATTCAGGAGTCTGGACTCGGGCACCTCTGTACCACCAGAATCCTCCTTGAGTGCCCAAGTCTTCTAAGGAAACCAAACCCTTGAGCATAAATCACATCCGTAGCTATTTGTACTGCACACTGATACACACAAGTTGGGTTAAAGAGAAGCACCTCGGGGTTGTGGGGAACACTTCTGGCCAAAGACATTAAGCCATGCCTTTACTATGGCTTAAGAAGAATCATTGTATCTGTTAAGAGGAGAAACTGTGCCAGTTTTTTGACTCTCATCTTTAATTAATCCTCCACACAGGGAACGCTTGCCATTAACTCAAACCCAAGAGCAGGAGAACTCTCTTCAGTTCTTGAAGTCTTTAATCAAGACTTGATTCCTTCTGCTAGATTGATATTACGACTGAACAGTAGGCACTGCCTTCAGAACAGGTTACTGAGCAAACCACAGCATTCTGCCGCACCACGACAGTCAGATTAGCAGAACAGCTCCTCCTGGTTTCAAGCCCATGGGTTTATAATCTATAACACCCACCATCACAGGACGCTGCGCTGATTTCAGCTGCTGTCTCCTGTAGCCCAATACTGGATTCCCGAGTTCTCACTGGAAAGCCAGGCCCCTCTGTGAGTCTAAGCTGCCTGTAGTGACAGAAACCATAAACCTATTTCACACGGTGCAGGCTGAAGCTTGCAGATAAGAGAATGCAGTGCCAGGGATACATGGTTACTGACAGGAGTTGCTCTCCGGAAAAGACACAGTAATTATTGTTACTGTTTACCTGACTTCCGAGTGAAGATTAACATTTATGACAAGGTGCTTAAAATAACCGGTTTCTTTGTATACCGCTGCTTCCAGGTGCTTTCCTTGCTGGCTCGCTGACCCAAGGGGTGTAACTTACACTGTTGCTTCAGCTCTCTGGATAGCAGCAGCTTTGAGGACCTCTCGTGGGCTCTCCCCTAAACTGCATGCTGGGTGAAGACAGCACAGGAAAACGCTTCCGTGTTAACTTGTAAACGCATCAAAGAGCCTTTTACTCCACATGCTTCCGTGTGGATTCGCTTTATAATAAAGTGCGTCTAAAAGCAGCATAAAACACAAGAGAGCTGCATCTTAAGAAGGCGAACCTAATCCCTAAGTGATGCTCATTCAAGCTTTGGCTTCTTTACAGAATTAACAGTGAATATAGACCCCGTAAAGTTCTTTGTAGGAGGATGGGAAGGAAGGAATGTGCTGACTGACAACTGGGCTTAGGCTGGCTTTGCTAATACATGTTACTAGTAATGTGAAGTATTCCCTTCTCCATCTGCCATTGTTCCTATCTTTCCCCATCATCCCTACAAGACATAGGCACAGGTCTGCCCAGAGAAGCTGTGGCTGCCCCATCCCTGGCAGTGTTCAGGGCCAGGTTGGACGAGGTCTGCAGCAACCTGCTCTAGTGGAAGGTGTCCCTGCCCGTGGCAGGGGGTTGGAACTGGATGAGTTTTAAAGTCCCTTCCAACCCAGACCAGTCTGGGATTCTATGAGGAAAAGGAGAAAGAGGAGGAGGCTGCCATTGCTCCCCAGGCAGCACCACTGCTCCAGCCCCACTTCCGCCTCGGTAGCCATCATGGCGGACACGATAGCCTTCCTCAGGTGACAGTCCCGCCAGCCCTCTCTATGGTAAGTCCTCCTCCGGCGGAGGCTTCCGTCACGTTACGTCTGGTCCCCGCGCGGTGCATTGCGGGTGTTTGGCGGAATGATGGTGGTGGCGTAGGGCCTGGTCAGCGCGAGGTGGGAGAGGGTCGCTGTGTGAGTACCTGGGCAGGCGGCGGGCGGGCGGACGAGGGGCAGGGTACCTGCGGGGAAACAGGGCGGCTTTGGGGCACGGAGTGTTGGGGGGCTGCGGCAGGGTCGCGGGGCTGAGGCAGGACAGGGCCCTTGGGTGGATGAGGGGCAGCGTTTCTGAGGAGAGCCGGGAGGGTGGCGGGGTCGGTCAGGAGGTGAAGGGGCCGCCGGCGGGCGCTGTCTCTCGGCCCGGACTGCCCGTGAAGGCGGTCGGGAGGGTCTGGCTGTGGGCAGTTCAGCTCCAGGCCGAGCCCGGGCACTGTGTCGGGTGTTAACCCCAGCGTGACCGGTCCTGTCTCAGTGTAGCGCTATCCAGGATTCTGCAGGGCTGAGTTTCTGCAACCCGAGAGGCTGGTGACGGTCCCTGAGTGGTTTCAGGTCGAGTTTGAGTCCTTTAAAGCCGTGCCGAATACAAACTGATCTAAGAAAAGCAGGGACAGTTTCTGGAGGATTTCTTAATGCTTCATGCAGTTATGCAGCAACATTGGATCTGGCTCTTCACCTGAATTCGTGGATCCCCGGGTTGCATCTAATTAGCAGGGATAATTCTGAGAGCAAGTGGCTTTCTTGGATCGGAGGGCTGCAGAGCTGAAGTGTCTTGCTGAGCCCCAGCTGACTTGGACAGTGCTACTGAAAGATGTCAGTGAGCCAAGGCTGGGTACTGCCTCACTGAGTTCAGTTCTGCCCAATGGGATGTCATTTTGAGCAACAAATTATTTTATCGTTTCAACACTGAAGTCGTGTTTTGTGATCTCATTGAAAGTGAAAAAAATAACCAGCAGTGGAAGCAGAGCATTAATAACTTTTATTTGTGTATCACAAAAGCATATGAAGCAATAGCATGTTTTCTTTGCTTTTTAACATTCTTTAGTATGTTCTTTTGTCATACATGCATACATCTGCAGATGCGTCTCTCGTGTCTTGTCTTCAGTCTGTGGCTAATGGATGTGTGTGTCTTTGTGAAGCAGAAACGAGCATAGTTTCAGATAGTAGATTTAAGATGGCACTGGTTCATCATGTTGAGTTTTTTGGCATTGGTTAAACATCTTAAACCCCTCATCTTAACATCTTAAACATCTTAAAACTGAGGCCCCCAGTGACATGGTTTAGTGGTGGTCTTGGCAGTCCTGAGGTAATGGTTGGACTTGATGATCTTAAAGGTCTTTTCCAACCTAGTTAATTCTATGGTTCTTGGCACAGTGGTTTGGGGTTGCAAGGGTCCCCATCCCCCGTGTGCAGCACTGAATGCAGTACATGCTGATGGGCTGTTTGTGTGGCTGAGGCCGATGGAGTCTGTTCCAGTCCTTTGCCACACAAGAATCGATAGTAACGATTTTGGGTAGGGAATTTTTTAGGACATGCTGGTGGTGTACAAGTTCCTGCAGGTTCTTTGTGAGAACTGGTGAAAACTCTTGTGTTTGTCTGAACTTTTGTAATTGCACTTGGCTTACTAAAGGGTAAAGCTTTGTGCTACCAGGGAGACACTGACAGCAGCCCTTCAGAAGGTTTTGCTGGCCAGCTGGAGCTCTGTGCAGGTTGCTCCCAAAGGATTGTGCTGCAGCACTAGTGAGAGTGCTGTGCCTGGAACTACAGAGCTGAACAAGGGCTGGAGCATTCAAGTTGCATGATCTTCATCAGTTATTTAGTTGTCAACACCATCCCTGGCATGCTGTGCTGTATGTCAGCCTGCATTTCTTATTATGATACCTAGATATGGTTTGGGGAATAAGTAAGGAGTCATTCCTAGGAGCCTGTTATTTTTGGCTGTCATATTTCAGGAGGGGAAAGAGTTTAGTTACAAGACTGTACTGCTGTCTTAAGGACAGGAGACCATCTCCTGGACAGTTCTATTTACTTTACAGACATAGCTTCATATTCTTGTTAGAGTCTGTGTATCCTCTTTCAAGCATGTTGGGAAAGACTTTACTTTGAAAATCTGCATAGATTCTGACAATTCTATCAATAAAAAGCTCCTTAAATGTCAAGGATTGTGAGCCAAGTGGTAGCTGGTATTCTGTAGTGGGACTTGTCATAACTTCAGTAATTCCAGGAACAGAGTAGCTCTCAGTGGAAGTCTTTCAATGTACGTTCTAGTAACACCTGGCTTTATCCCTTCATTCTGTAGTAGTTAAAATGACGACAGCAGCGAGGCCGACATTTGAACCTGCAAGAGGAGGAAGAGGAAAAGGTGAAGGAGACTTAAGTCAGCTATCCAAACAGTATTCCAGCAGAGACCTTCCTTCTCATACTAAAATCAAATACAGGTTAGTATTGGGTTTTTTAGTCTTACAGCAAAATAGGCTGGGAATTTTCACAGTAGATGTTGATGTGCTTGAACAGACACTGGAGACTGTGTGGCAGTGTTGAGTGAGAGGGCTGAAAGTGTAAGTCTTAGAAGCAGACTTAGGAGAGGTTTAATTTTGGTGATATTTATTACTGCTTATGAACATGGTGTTAGAAGAAGGTGAGCTTTGGACACCAAACATTTTGGGCAGTGGAGTAGAAGAAAGTTGTCATTGGGACTGAGCCACAGAGGGCTCAATGGGCAAGATGGGATAAGAGGAGCAAAGTTGAGCATATCTTTAAAGTAAGGTAAAGCCATATCATGTATTTGGCATTGACCACTTGAGAAGAGCATTAGGAGGAGACAGGGAAATCACGGAATAACACTTGGGCAATAGCACATATTGGAAGAGCTGATGTTAAACACTGCAGGTGCTGGGAGAGGAAGTGGATTTAATCAGTGAGAAAGATAACGGGATACTAGGAATATTTTCCTCTCTTTGAAATGCGTAATAAATCTTTGTTATCCTTTTGAAAGATTAAGTGAAAACTGGAGTCAGTGTGATACGATGCCTAGAATTTAAATTGTGTCAGCCTAAAAATGTTCTTTTTATCTAACCGATGTTACTCTTGTCAGTGAAATTACTGCAGAGGTTTTATGTTTGCACTTTTTTGTCCAGATACTTACCCTTTCACCTCTTCCCTCCTGCCCCTTTGGTTTTTAGGAACATCTATGGATAAGGGAGTTGGAGTGTTTTGAAGAATACCAAAATCAGCAGCACAAAAAGTGTTCTCACATGCATTTTGTTGTTATGGGAAACATTTCTGTGGGTTTCTTTCTTTAAATAAAAGTGGGGTTGGGGCACGGGTCTGTTGTTTGAATGAAGTGTGCGGGGACAAACATGTACAGGAATATACAATGTATGTTTTAACAAGTATCTCCCTGTGTGTGAGAGAGGTGGAGGGGCCATTAAGTGTCTTCTGGTCTTTCTTCCAAATACCTCATACAGTGTGGTCTTTGTTAAATTGCCAGGACTGCATCATTGCAAGAGAAGTTCAGTGTTTTAGTCCCACTCAAGTTCAGAGTTTGGAGGGATTTTTCAGCTATATTAGGGATTCCAAGTCCATGTTTTTAATTACACAAGCAAACTAAATACTTCATTATAAAGACAGGCTGTGCACACTGTTTATTTATAATGGCTCGTGCCTGTGTTTCTTCCAGGCACTCCTACTTCCAGCACTGAGTTCACAGAAAGGTGAAAGGAATTGCTGCTTTTTTTTTATTCATTAGCTCTTTTCAAGATTGCAACAAAAATTCAGTGCTCTCTAGGTGGAACTTTGTGCGACTCAAATATAAATAGTCTGTTGCTTTTGGCCAATGTTTATTATAGAAAAAGGGGAGAAACACGTATTCACAATATGTTTCACCAAAACTAGCGTTTTGCCTGTTCTCCCAGCTCTTGTTTTTAATGGTCATGGGAGATTATCTGTCTCTCAGAGGGGAAAAGTTTATGAAAGGTATGTTCTAGTCTTGGTCTTACCTGTAAGCTTTAGAGACTGGGCTTGCAGCGGCAACTTCGATAAAACAGTGAGGGAAGTTGACCATGATTCTCGTGGATGTCTCCTAGGACACTCATTTTGGACTGCTGGGGAACAGGAGATTTAGCCATAGCTACAAAAAGTAGATGTAGTCATCCTGCTTTTGTAGGAATTTACGTAGGGTCTTTTAATTTGAGAGCCACTGAAAGTATCGTATGTGTGGCATAGCATGTCTGTGTGTGTAATGCATACAGAAAAGAAGACTGATGAAGAGTGAATAAACAAGCATGTCTGCATGGTACCCAGTTCTTACTCTCTGTACATACTTGTTCACCCAAGGATTTATATGCCTCCATGAAAAAATTGCTCTCAGCTGCAAACTGTCAACTTCAGCTTTTTCCTCCGCTCTTGTGTTGTTGTAGACAGGCCACTCAGGATGCTCCTGAGGAGGTGCGTAACCGGGATTTCAGAAGGGAGCTGGAGGAGAGAGAACGCGTTGCTGCAAGAGAGAAGAACAGAGACAGGCAAACCAGAGGTAAAAACAAAGAAACAAACATCCTAATATCTTTTTGTGGCATTGCTCTTCCACAAAACCTGGTAAGAAGTTTGCATGTTGCAGACGGCATGTCATGAGAGTAGAATCTGGGGTATTGGTCTGATAGTTCAGAGCTGCTGACCTGAAAGGGAATGTCCGCTGGCTTTCCTCTTGGCTTTGTGCTGTCAGAAATCCAGGCCAGCAGTAGGAGAGCACAGGCTATCCTGCAGGCCAGCTGATACAGTGTGAGTGTAATGAATTGGCAACAAGTCTGAACAGCTAATAGAGGGCTCTTTTCTGTGCTTGGACAAGTGAGACAGGAAGGAGAGGGAGAATGACTCATCTTCTAGTGTTACAGCACTAGTGTAACAATAAATCTGTTTTTGAACTGTGGAATTCTGTTCAGATAAGGTGAAGTGATAATTAAAATGAAAACCTGAGGGGTTTGTTTTGATAAATACTCATTTTTAGTATTTTTAGTATTAAGCTTGACAGAATTTACGTACTTCAGGTTTAGGTGTGGTGGTATAGTGGGGCTTTCAAATTCACAGATGAAAGCAGATGTGGTTTGGACCATACTAGACAACAGTAATGCTCAATGGGAACCTTACAATTGGATATGTAGAATAAGGATACTTGTGCACAGGTTTTTCTTCTGCTGTTCTTTCTTTGTGAAATAATAACTTCAGAAAACTTCTAGAGGCCTAGATGGAAGTTTGGGCATGTTTCTGGTTCCCTTGAGCAGAGGCAGGGAGGAACTGGGCATGGTGTTAAGAAGTGAGGAAGAAGTGTAAGCTTGTATCTCTTACTCTTAAACAAGACAATCTGTGAAGATTTTTGCTTTCTGACATTTGATTCTGTTAAATGGAATGACTTAGTCATTTTTTGTTGTTTTTTAAATCTTATGCCATAGAACACACAACATCATCATCTTCTGTGTCTAAGAAGCCTCGGCTAGACCAGATTCCAGCAGCAAATCTTGATGCAGATGATCCCCTTACTGATGTATGTATCTTTTTTCTGTCTTTCCTTTTTTAGTGTCATGCATTCAGGATTTGCTGTTAATAGAAATGTGTTTTTAGGTTTGCTAAAGATTTAAGACAGATTCCAACAGATCTTCATTGTAGGATTGCTTTACTTTGGTGGAAGTCCAGAGTGGTTTGGAGGATTCTGGTCCATAGTCTAATGTTATTCTTGGAAAGGACACAAAAATTAGGGAACTGAAAATACCACTTGAAGTATGGAGCATGGGAGGCTTTTTACACTTCAGTCAGCTACTGGGTTAGTTAGAATTCGCCAAGGTAGAACTGTTGAGACACACTGACTGTATGGGCAGTGGATTCTTGCTCCTGGCTCCTCTTCTCCTGCTAACGTCTAGAAGTTCAGTCTGGGGTTTGACAGTGCAGGGGTTTTTTAATCCTCTTATATTTGGTCCTGTCAATATTGGACAGGGTATTCAGGCACACTGTTATAATGACTTAAATTGCAATGATTGGAGAGTGATTTGGGGCAGCCATGTTCTAGAATCTATTAGCTACTTAGCATTTGAATTGTAAAAGCTTTAACTGCAGTCATCCAAAAACCACAAACATGTTTTTGTCTTGACTTTACTGTACAAGAGCAAATAAACCATTTGTATTGTGTTTGCTGCTGCTACAAGCACCCAAGTACTTCAGAAATCAGCCATTAGCAAATTGCAACCTTAGATGGGCAGACCGTGGCTATTTCTATTTAATGAAATGAACAAGCAGCTTCTTGTTTCCATTTATTGTTCTTAGGAAGATGATGAAGATGAGGAGTTGGAAGACAGCGATGATGATGACACTGCAGCTCTTCTGGCTGAACTGGAAAAAATCAAGAAAGAACGAGCTGAGGAACAGGCTCGAAAGGTAAAATCTCACCCATTAAAAAGCGTCTGCTTTTTGCAGACTGGTGTTTGTTACAACTGGTGTGCCTTAAGTACTTGGGATGAGTGAGAACTGGTAAAATGTAAGTGTCCTTCAAAACTCTTCTCAGATATATGATGAATTTGTTTTTTTGTCTAATAATTGGTGTCAAGATTACTTTTTCCTTTAATGGACATCCTGTGGTTAGAGATTGTTTCCCCATGAACGGGATCAAGTCCTATGCTATTGGCTCCCCACCTCCTTGGTGTAAGAGAGATTGTTGGGATGGAGTGCATAAGCAAAATCTCTGATGGTTGAATGGACTTCTAGGGACTGCTTGTGCGTATAGTCTGTGTTGCCAAGGTGATCAGGATTTAGGATGAACTGTACTGGCTCTAACATTGTATTACAGCAGAATTTAGAGCCCAGGTGTTTCATCTGCAGTACTGAAATGCTCTGCCTCTGGTGGTGCCGCAGCAGTTGTGGGTATGTGCAGGATTCCCTCTTCCACTTTTAGTAGGCACTTTCATTTTCATAGTAGGGCTTAAATAGTTTTAGTGCTTTTGAAATATGTTGCATGCTTCAGTTGGAGTAGTTTTGTGTGTTTGGAACAGGCTGCCCAGGGCAGTAATAGAATCACCATCCCTGGAAGTGTTCAGAAACCATGTAGATGAGGCCCTTAGTGGTATGGTTTAGTGGTGGCCTTGACAGTCCTGAGGTAGTGATTGGACTTGATGATATTAGATGTCCTATCCATCCTAGCTGATTCTATGATTAGTGTAAAAAAAACAAAACAAAAACTCCAGAGCAAATGAACACACCCCCCACATCCCCCAAACTAGCCACCTGTCATGTTTGTATAGGGTAATCTGAGATGTTTTTAGAGCATGCTAAATAAACATATTAAATGTTGATCAAGAGGCTAATCAAAGGGTGCTGTGACAACTTTGATGTCTCTGAACTGTTTGTAGCCTTTCCTCTGGATTAATACACAAACTTTTATAGTTTAATGGTTTTGAAGAATGCTCTTCAGAAGAGTGAGCTGGCAGTGAACAGGGCACAGCATCTAGCAGCCACTAGGAAAGCCAGCAGGGAATAATGTTTTAACTGCACTAGGCAGCAATGGAGTGCTTGCTTAATCCAGGTTAATACAGAAATCTACCTTTAGAATCAGCAGGGTCAGCAAAACCACTGAGCTCTGTGCAGAGTTTGAAGCAGTTTTGGAATGAAGTACTTTGGAAGAGTAAAAGCTTCTATACTGTGCTGCTTCAGTGCAGAAATGTTGCTGTAGAAGGCTGTTGATACCCGATTCTCTGTCTGGCTTGTGAGGGGTCTTTTACATTGGAGTGTGTCTGAAAGCATCTCTCATCTCTATACTGAGGCATTTGAAGTACATCACATAGTAATTAAATTGTATTCTGCAATAATAACATGGTAAAAATGACTGAAAAACACTGGCAACAGTTATTCCAGGTGTTCTTGTGTGAAATGTACTTACAAATTAAGGGTAGCAATGTCTGGGAAAGACTTCGACTTCAGCTGTTCTGAACAGCGCATAAAATGAAAGCTTAGATCAGCAGGGGGTTTTTACTTTGCCCGGTAGTTGTAATTGCTCATCTGGATTGAAGAGCATAACTTGTCACATTTCACTATAGAAAACTTGCATTATAAAAAGTATGGCAGTAAATTGCAGCACAGACCAAATGCATGCTTCTCTGTTCCTGTGGAGAACGCAGGAATGTTACCATCTCTAGGATGTTTTGTCACTAGAGGGTGCTAAAAGCTATGAAGTATTTAGTGTAGCACTTGGTTTATTTTGCTGTCTCTTAGCTGGTACTGTTTTTTACCTTCATGGATGTTCTCCTTCCCATAGACACAGGGTTTATCATATCCAATGCTATGTGCATACTGAATACACACACACTTATCTGAAACTAATGTTTGTTTCTTCCTAACAAATAGTGTTAGTTATTTACTTGCAGTAGTGAATACTATTGTACACTCATTGTATGTTCTGTTCATCCTGAGACTGGTTGTTGGCACATAGGCTCTCTTAAAAATTGACATCTTCAGTAAATAGTGATTGCTCTGCAGGTACTTGGGATTTTATTTTCTTGTGGGTTTTTTCATGTTGTTTATGTTTTGCAAACCATAATTTAAACCCAGTTTTGTAAGTAACTCTATATTAGTCGTGCAGCTGACTTCAGGATAACATCTTATGTAAAGTCTTAATTGTGTAGTTGCTGTTAGTCCTGATCCATGTACAGGGATGGTTTATATGCTGAAACTCTGCTGCCCATAGTAGACAGAGTGGGACAGCGACGGGAAACTGCAGGATGGTGAGTGCCTGTTCACTCATCATTCTCAAATCTCTTTGTTATACAGACAGATTAATGTGTCTCTGCATCTTCCTGGAACGTGCCAGGGTTGTAAAAAGATACAGTGGGTAAAATATAGTAATATATCCTAAATTTGGGTAAAATGCAGGTTTTTCCCTGATAGTTATTTTGATTTATTAAAATGCTGGTCCAGTAATTTCTGAGACTTCTTTTAAAGTAAGCTGTATCTTTGTTAACTGTTTTCCATCATCACTTTGGTGTCCAGTATTTAAGTTGCTGTGAAAGGAAGGCTCCTTTTCAAATGTATCGCTGGGGAGACAGCAGTTAAAAGATGAGAAACTGCTTTTTTTCAGCTCATCATGCCCTCTGTTAATTTCCCTTCTGTGGTAATACCAATTTCCATAAAAATCCTCTAAACCTAATTTTGACAAGGATTAGAATTAAGAAGCTCTAACTTCCTTCACTCTGATAACTTCCCTGTAATCTGTGTCACAAATAGTTTGTCAACCAAATAAGCAAGCCCTGTCAAGGCTTGTTAACATCTCAAAATGCTTAAATTCCCTTGAATTCTGTAGAAGCATTAAATAAATGCTACACATGTTTTTAAAACCTGATTGAGTTGGGGAGCCTTCCTGACTTTTCTCCAGCTCTCCACAGTTTTAATCTCTCAGGTTGTTTCTAGTAGACACTAAGCTGACCAGAACATTTTAGAGTTGAAAGCCATTTCTGTGCCAATTCTGAGTCTGTCTAAAACTCTACAAGCACAGGTCTGTTCTGTGTGTGTGTGAAGTATCCATGGATAGCATTTCAATATTCCAAATCCAGAATTACAGTGCTCTTGATTTTCAGTTTTTGAGCACTTCCTTAAAAGGTAAATGTAAATAATTAAAACCAAACCTCAAACCAGGGAGCAGCTGAATGTGCAGTTCCAGCAAAGCTATTTTAACATCCAGTCATTTTATGCTTATCTGAGAACAGACTGAAAGTTGTTGGCTTGGATTGAACAGTTTTATTTCAATAGGTGTTTATCAGTCACAGAACCATAGAATAGTTTGGGTTGGAAAGGACCGTAAGATCATCTAGTTCCAACACCCCTGCCATGGGCAGGGACAATTCACACCAGAAATGTCATCCAAGGCTCCGTCCAACCTGGCCTTGAACACTGCCAGGAAGGGGGCATTTGTTGCTTCTTTGGGCAATCTGTTCCAGTGGCTCACCACCCTCTATAACTGAATACATCACTTTACCAATGGCCAAGACAGAACTTAGCTGTGTCCTGTGTTTTAGCCGTGTCACAGACTTCACACAAAACATTAGAAGGTGGATCTTGATAGACACTAACCTTAAATTTTAAGGGTCTTGATTAAAATTGATGATGAAAAAATAATTTCAGTAAAGAGGCAAAAGCAGAGTATTTTTCTTCATTAAATGTTAGAGACATGCTCACAATACTTTTTCTTTCCAAGATCTGACGATAACGTCCCCTCCCTTGTGAGCAAAATGACAACAAATCTGTATATAGACACCACAGTTTGGATTACTCTGTGCTCTTGAGGTTTCAATCAGTTGTGTGAATCGCTGTATTACATAGATAGGAATTTGCATTGGATTAAATAACTGGGTTGAAACTTGCTTCATTCCCTGCTGCTAAAGACAGTGCTGTCATAGTTTGTCATTCACAAATTAGCATTTAAATAAGGTTATGTGATTCTTTATTTTTTTTCAGCCTTCAATGAAATGTGGGTATTTCAGATTTTCATTCAGCTACTTCACATCCCTAAAAACCAAGCAGGATAACTACAATACAACAGAGCCATTTCAGGAATTTCAGCACTTTCTGTAAAAGTAATCTTGCTATGTGCTCAGGGTAGGAGCTATACTAAAAAAAAATAACCATGGTAACAGCAATGTTCCTTTTTCCTTTGTGGTCAGAAACAAATAAATATGCCAAGGGACTGTTACTCTTACAGCAAGATAAAGAATAATTGTTCAGTTAAGGGTAATACAGTTTTGTCCTCCTTTTTTCTTCCCCCAGCTGTGATGCCACATGGTAAGTTCGGTTGTACAATGACACTTGCTGTGAGATCCATTCACAGGGCAGCGTCTCCATCTGCTTTCTCGGCATATGGGACTCTCTGCCAGTCCAGTCTCATTCCCAGCACCATAATATTATTCTTCTGTTGCCTCTGTCTTAGCACAGTGGTTACAACATGGTTGCCATCCAGTTCATCTCTGTAGGTAGCTGGTGCAGCATGCTGCCACTGAGAAGCACAGCGCTGCTGTCTGTAGTGAGGGAACCATCTAGAGCAGCATTTTTGTGAACATGGCTTAGGAAAAGAGTTGGATACCTCTTGCTGAATGGAGAGGCAAAGAGGCATTACTTTAGAAGGGGTGAAGTGAATATACATATAATTTTTCCCCGTAGGCTTTTCTTGTGTTGTGGGTTTGTTGTAGCCATAGTGTTTCAGCTTAATAAGCCTTTGTTCCACCACACAAAAGAACAACGTAGGCTTTGGAGCAACCAGAGCCTCTTACTCTGTGAACAGCTGCACTTGATGGTGCCTCAGAGGTGTGAAGCTCAGACAGCTATGAAGGTTATGTCTGGTCTGTTAGATTTGATACAACCCATGCTGCATTGCCTGGAGCTTTCAGCAGGATCAGCAGTGGAAGATTTATGTGGAAAGTTGTGGAACATAATGAAAACCTCTTTTGGCTGGAGATGAGGGATTCTGCAGCTCTGGCCAAAATGCATTACTTAGCTTAAGTATAAATGTCAGTTTTACACCACGCCTCATATTTCCTTCATGTCATGCCTTTAAGATACAAAACTTAGTAAATTACCTTGTTTAAAATCTTGGATACGTTCTTTGGGAGTTTTTAGTGAAGCCAAATAATACAAAAAATCTTCAAGACTAATCTTCAGAATCAGTCTTCTTCCTAAAACTTGTAGCAAATACGTTGAAATGTCATCCAGCCTGGAACAGCTCCATCATGGAGTGGTTTGGGTTAGAAGGGACCTTAAAGGTCCTCTGCTTCCAACCTCCCTGCCATGGGCAGGGACTTTGAATGCCTGAATTCCACAGATGAATTATAATGTGTGCTGGGTCTTTGTAATGTGCCTAAACCTGGCACTGCCTTACTCAACAGAGCTGTTCCCTGTTTGCTTTCAGACTTTCATCTGTTGACCGGTAATGACAAAGATAAACTTATGCAGTTTGTTACTACTTCTGCTTGTTCTGCCTCTGCATGTCTGAAAGACAGCAGAGTTCTGGTTTTGAGTAGAGCTGAGAAGCAGCAAAGGATCACACCAAGTGCCAGGGGCTCTGCAGCATCTCGTACTGTGAATATGGAAAATCAATGTTTGAAAATAAGACTGATGTATGTTTTCTCTACCTGTTGTCACTATACAAGAACATCTGACAGCTTCTGCTTGCATTATGTTCATAATCAGTTTTAGTAATTTAGTAGGTGCAAAAGTAAAATGAAATAATTTGAAATTCCCAAGATTGCCCCTACCACTTATTTTAATTATAGTGCAGTTTTTGCTGCCCTCCAGTCCTGTGGAATTGTGGTTAACTTGAGTCAGTGTAGCTTTTTGCTAACAATTAACAGTTTTGGACAGAGCTTAGTTGAGATTGAAGTGCCAAGTTGTTTGGGTTGATGTACAAGTTCCATATCCCAGCTTCCGTGGTGGTGCAGGGGAGGTGCAGTCAGTAGAGCATGGAGCATGGTTGGTGTCCTATGTGTGAGTACTTCAGCATGAGCAGAAAAGCCACCTTGACTCCTTACTGTGTTCTCTAGATCTCTCTGAACCGTATTATATAGATCTCCCTGAGATGTGAGCTCAGCTGCCTACAAACAGATGCAGATGTCTACTTGTAGGTGTCTTAATCTGGAGCTAAATTCTACTCTTAGTCGTATACTACTTGTAAAGTAATGCTTCTTAAAACTGTTATTTCAGTTTTGATTTCCCTTTGTTGTGTTGGGGTTTGTTTTTTTTTTTTGCTTTTTATCACCACGTTTCATCACTTCAGTTTGATAATGAATTTTTTTTTTTTTTTTTGTTACCAGAAAGTGAACTATGTCAGGCTAATTGAGCCTGAAGGATACTGCATGGGCTATGTAAAGCAGATAAAAGAGAGGGACTAGTTTGGGAGCAGCAGGAGAATGACTTGGGGGTGTTGGTTGATGGAAGGCTGGACATGACCTGGCAGTGTGTGCTCACAGCTGAGAAACTGTCCTGGGTTGCATCAGGAGTATGACCAGTAAGACAAGGGAAGGGATTCTGCCTCTACTCTGCTCTTGTGTTAGTCCCCTGCAGTGCTGCATCCAGCTCCGGGGCCCTCAACACAAGAGGGATGTGGAGCTGTTGAAGTAAGTCCAGAGGAGGCCACAAAGATGATCAGAGGACTGGGGCACCTCTGCTGTGGAAACAGGCTGGGAGTTGGGCTTGTTCAGCCTGTATAAGAGAAAGCTCCAAAGAAGTCTTACAGCAGCCTTCTAGTAACTAAAAGGTGCCTGCAAGAAATCTGGAGAGGGACTTTTGACAAGGGCCTGTAGTAATAGGACAGGGCAGAATGGCTCCAAGTTGAAAGAGGGTAGACTGAGATTAGACATTAGGAAAAAAATTCTTCCTTGTGAGGGTGCTGAGGCGCTGGCACAGGGTGCCCAGAGAAGCTGTGGCTGCCCCATCCCTGGCAGTGTTCAAGGTCAGGTTGGACACAGGGGCTTGGAGCGACCTGGTCTAGTGGAAGGTGACCTTGCCTGCCACAGGGATTGGAACTGGATGAGCTTTAAGGTCCCTTCCAACCCAAAGCAGTCTGTAATAAACTGAAGTTCTGCATTTTCAAGCATAGCTTTAAATCCAACATTTGCATTCCAGCTTCAGTTGTTACTACCACCCCAGTAAATAAGCAGAAATATAATACTGCCATCCTAGTGGCAATTAATTGCAGCTGGTTCTGAATTGTATTTGAGAGAAGCAGTGTAATGGTAGGTGTTTTTTCATAACTAAAACTCAGGTAGGCTTTGAAAGGTAAAATCTGTACCAGTGGCCAGGCATCCTCTATGCATGGTATTATGTATGTTAATGTGGTATTGTTCTTAAAAGAGTTGGAATAAAGTTGGGGTGATGGGAATATTTCACATACCTGATCAGTCCAATTGAAAAACATCATAAATTGTAGATAGCTTTAGTAATACATCACTTGGCATTGATTAAATGTTTGGTGCTGGAGAGCTCTGGCTAGCATCAGTGTTCAAGTTTGCACTTAAACCTTGTAACCATTACCATCAAGAAACATGTTTCCTCTTTTGGGATCCCCTCAGCCATGGATTTTATGTCTTTGGGAAAAAAAACACAACTTTGTGATCTCTTTGTCTTTCATTTATATAATTTCTTTTAAGCCATGGTTTTAGTTTCCAGCAGTGCTAATGAGACATCAGTGTATTTTTTAACTAGAGTATGTTCAGACCACACTTAAGCATATAGGAAGTGGGAGACCTAGTTAGTCATCCGAACTTATTCTGGTACTTTCATCAAAGAGCAGCCTTTGCAGTGTATTTGAAAGGTTGTGGAAAAATACATTGATGTAAAATGAATATTACACATTCATTTTGATGTCTGTGAACATTCAAGTCACTAAATATATTAATACAGCTTGGAAGTGTGGGCAGTGAAAGGTACTTTGTGTAGCCTGTAATGCATTGCTTCGCTTACGTGCTTTTGATAGTACAAGGAGATGAAAATTATTCAGTTCCTTAATATTGGAACTCTTAAATAGTCTTATGACTTTCACTGCTCGGTGTCACCTTAGATTTCTCAGTGTTCTTTTTAATTGATCCCTCAGGAAGTTGTAGTTGCAAAACCCAAGCAGATTGCGGAAGATAAAGAAGTTTCAGCATACTGTAAAGTTTCTTCCACCTAATGACTACTGTATAATATACTTTCTTTTCTCATGAGAAAAAAAGAAAAGCTTTTAATCTGTATACAGTTTTTGATGTAATAAATATGTAAATGGTAAAGCTGGAATTGAACTGAATATTTGATGGAACATCAGAGGTAAGCAGAACATAGGAATGTTGCTAGATTGACACTTCATTAGCCATGTTAAGGTCTTTAGGGTATCTCTGCTTCTATCCCTATTTTACTCATATGTTAAGTGTCAAATGCCCTGAGAAGTCTGAGTTAGGAACTAAAGCTCTGTCTGTGTGAGTGTTCACAGCTAAATAGTGTTTCTTTCTACCAACTAGATGAGAAGAGCGGCTTAGAAAAGTAATACATCAATTTCTGGTTCACAGGAACAAGAGCAAAAGGCTGAAGAAGAAAGAATTCGGATGGAGAACATCCTGAGTGGTAACCCACTACTGAACCTTACTGGCCCAGCACAGCCTCAAGCAAACTTCAAAGTGAAGAGGAGGTACTGTGCACCCTGTACTGTGACACCCATCCCCTTGCTCTCTCCTGATACTTCCAGTCAGAAAACATTATCACTGCTGTTGGATTTTATTTCCTGCCTCTGACTTTGTCACAGCAGTGTAATACAGGATCAGGATACTGATGCATGTGGTGATTGTCTTCTGCAGTCCTCTGAACAAATTGTCCTGCTCCTTTTGTTTAAAAGAGAGGGAAAGAGAGATTGAGAATTGTGTTTATCTGACATTGTGCAGGCAAACAGGACTAAAGTAGCAGGACCAGAGTCCCTAAAATAATTTGATGTTGTGCTTCCCTTTAAAATCTGGCTACTTTGGGAGCTTTTATTTATTTTGTGTAGTGTAACTAGAATTAGTGATTAGCAGTAGTTTTCTCAATACAGCTCTTGTTTGCAGGTGTTCCAATGACTTGTGTTCATCAAAAATAGGGCCATTAGACTAAAGGGGTTTTTTTCTGCTCTGCTCAGATGGTCTTTATTTTCTGTAAGATCAAATAACCTTTAATCTGCTGATACTCATCTCGCTTCTAACTGAAGAGCATGTAGGAAATGGCTTGGATTAGAAAAATAGAACTATTTTTTCTCTAAGATCTAATCCTAGTGACTACTTGTTCTATGTACATTTAAATGGGAGGGCCAAGCTTCATTTATGTATTTCTGTAATTTGCACCTCATCTTCATACAAGCTTACTGAGGTTCCAAACTTTTCTTTTCAGATGGGATGATGATGTTGTCTTCAAGAATTGTGCCAAGGGTTTGGATGAATCCAAAAAGGACAAAAGATTCGTGAACGATACTCTGCGATCAGAATTCCACAAAAAATTCATGGAAAAATACATCAAGTAGTACAGTTTTATGTGCAGTGGTACTGAAGGACTCGGAATGTCATGGGTGTTCCCTCCCTTTCCCCCAGAATTCAAGGCCAAATACTTGGTCCTGAATTCCCATATGCGTTTCCAAGATCATCGTCAGCTTCATAGTTCATAATTGCTGTGTATTGAGTTTTTATTCCTGCAGTATGGCTTCCTTTTCAGTTCTAATTAAATCAGTTTGTGTTTCATGAATGTTTTTCTGTTCCCATGCTTTTTACTGTTCACATTACTTTTTGCTAGCTGCCAGGTCAGTGGTAGAGAAAAGCTGGTTTGCAGTAAGTACTGTCAATTGCTTAAATTGCTTTCCAAAGGAACCTGTATTTATAGTGATTCTGGTTTGTAACTTATGCTACTTATGTAAACATCAGTAATATCAAAGATGGGGAGTGGCTGAGTATGATAAGCAGTGTGAACTGAAGAGAGCTGTACTTCCTGCAGCAAACTGGACTTCCTCTGAATAGCTTCTTAGAAAGTTAGTTAATAATCTTCCTTTTTAGTTACTTTTACTCTCAACCAAGTTCCAGTTTGGGGGTAGCTCCAGGTTCTTAACAGTCCTGCTTTCTGGACTTTCCTGGCTCAGCACTTGTGGAGCAGCACCAGGTAATGCTCGGGGGAGGCTTGAGCAGGGGATGCTCTGTGGAACCATTGCAATTTGCCTCCTTAACTGACCCCTGCAGTGCTGGGTCCCTCAGCCACAGCCATGTGGCTGCCTGGTTCAGTGTGCTTCATTACTAAGTGTTGTCAGAAACTTGCGAGTGCTTTTATTAAAGGAGTGATCTCAAGATACCCAAATAGACTTTGTTTGCTTCTTGAATGTCCATTTTAACACTTACTAAGAAGGTATAAAATATGAATGAAAACTATCTTGGTTGTGAAGGGATTATGTTGTTTCTTCTTTTCTGTCATCTTGGTTGCATTTGAAATCACGGCCAAGTGATGCACTGGGTATGAGTCTAATGTTTGCGAAATGTGGTCATTTCCTCTCTACCCAGAAGGCTGCAGCAGCAGAACTCAGATGTGTTTATGTAAAATTCTTGCCCTTTTCCTTGCCTGTGTTATGCTCAGTCTTGTTCACTCGCAGACACCATTTCATACTAATATTATTAGTTTCAAGTTCTTAATTTGAAAATATATCTGGTTTTCTTTTAAAGAGAGTTAATGTAGAGCACAGTGTTTATATTTTTTTTTTCTTTGGGCATGTCACTGGTATCCTTTAAAAGCTTTCATTACCTTTAACTATGTTTTCGTGCTTTCATTAGTGTACTACTGCCAGCAGCTAATACCCGTATTTAATTGGAAGCAAGATTTTCAGTGTGCTTAAGACCATGTGAGCTTCTACAGCTACTAGAGGAATATGTGTTTGTTTCTTCACAGAAACAGAGTGTATTCAGCCTGCAGAAGAGAAGGCTCAGGGGAGACCTTATGACAGTCTTCCAGTACCTAAAGGGGCTGACAAGAAAGCTGGAGAGGGGCTTTTTACAAGGATATGTACTAATAGGACAAGGGGGAATGGCTTTAAACTGAAAAAGGGGAGATTGAGATTAGGTCTTAGGCAGAAGCTCTCCCCTGTGAGGGTGCTGAGGCGCTGGCACAGGGTGCCCAGGGAAGCTGTGGCTGCCCCATCCCTGGCAGTGTTCAAGGCCAGGTCGGACAGGGCTTGGAGCAACCTGCTCTAGTGGAAGGTGTCCCTGCCTGTGGCAGGGGGCTGGAACTGGATGAGCTTTAAGGTGTTCCAACACAAACAATCTGGGATTCTTCTTCAAACTGCCTTGTGATTCTTGGAAGCAGGAAAAGAGGTTTCAGTTCTTGATTTTAAAGCTACTAAAATCTTTACATGTAGGCAGCTTATTTAGAAGGGGAAAGAAGCAAAGAGCTGTGCTTGTCAGGGGCTGGCAGTGGAGAAGCCAGCTACTGCTTCAGGTCTGACCAGCAGCATGGTTGTCACAGCAACGACAAAAATTACACTGCTCTTGCAGCATTACAAGATGTAATCACCGTGCCAAAGCGAGCATACACTTGGAGAGGGGGAGATGTAGCCGAGAGGCCAGTTGAATGCATTCATGGAAATCACAAGTGCATAATGCCATAACAAACTCTTCTTAGAGAAGATAATGCTTGTAAGAATTCAGACAGCTGGGGTTGGACGAGGTCTTCCTTGGACATGCAGGCAGTTGTTCTTCACACCTGCAGAACACCCCTTCCTTAACCTTGCATAATGCATGGGTGTCCTCTGCCTTTCTGATTCTGGAGCAAGAGCCATAGGGACCTTACAGCTCCGGGCTGGAGCTTTATTTCAGGCTTTTTGTGGCATTATTGTTCAGCTCAACTATAGAATTTGCAGATCCTATCTCTGACCTCCCTCTAAAGCTTTTGTATTGTAGCCTCCTGCAGTGTAAGCTGACCCACAGCCTGGGGACTCGGGTGATACACTAACACAATGTGATAATTAAGGCATCTCAAACCTTATCTCTTGGTGGGTTTTGCATCATTAACTACTGAATTGCCTTCACCAGTACTGGAAGGCTAAAGCGCCCTGTGCTTGTTGTCAGGGGAAAACCCTGTGCTTTCAGTACTGCTGCTGTATTCATATTCTGTTTTCTACTGTGCCTCTTGGAAAAGCCAAGCACATCACTTGTTCTTGTAAAGCTGCAGCATGACACTGAGTTCTTGAAGAAAATCAGCATTTGGTGATCTGCTCCCAGCATAGGTTTTTATCCAGGAACATCTGCTGAGTGTGACAAACAGGTCTCAACAAAGGCAGTGGAGCTGGGAAGGCAGCTATCCTGGGAGGTGAAGTGGAGAAAACATTGGGCACTTCAGAGAATGCGGTATTTTACAGCTCCTAGCAATCAGGATTGTTTAATCCTATGGGTTTTGTAAGCTACACAACATGATGCTTTGTAGTATCATTCAATGATGATGAACACCTGAACTACTGTAACGAGTGGCTTGAAACAAAGCCACTTGCTTAAGTTTCCCCTTGTTTATTATTATCCTCAGTGTAGCATTGGAAATGAAACCCAGGATCTGTTTGCCATAGGGACTAAGTTAAACTTTTAAATTGTTTGTTTTTTAAAGCCTTCTCTTCAGAACTTTTACTTGGAAGATGTTTTATAATTCTAAAGGGATTAACACTGTGAGGAATGAAGCTTAATGATAGCCCTGCAGCTGGAAATAACTGTGGTGTCTGTATACAAGGTTCTGAAGTGTTGAGCATCTCTTTGTCTTCATCAAGTAGATGGCTGAATATTAAAGACTTCATATGATTCTGTTATTAAAAAATCACCTTTTTGGTAAGTTCCAGTTCCCCATTAGCTTGAACTCTGTTTGAAATAAACCCTGGGGCAGAGGTGATCTGGTGCTTGGTCTGTTCACATTTCAATGCCTCATGGGCAGCCCAGCCGGTGCCTGCTGTGGTGGCGGCTTGGTGTCTCCTCTCAGCCGTGCCCAATGGGTTCTCTCTGCTTCTTCCTATAACTACGAATACCTCAAAGTCTCTCATGCTGGAGGTGAGATCTGAGCACAAGGTCAAACCATGACATGGATGTGGGATGTTGCCTTGAAGTGCTTCACTTCAAAGGGAAGTGTGGAGGATTCAAGCCTTGAAAGGGTGTGCTGATGCTCAGAAAGTGCTTAGGGCTAAAGTGATTGCTTGTATCTGCAGTCAGGGCTGGCTGGGGACTGAAGCCTTAATTCTCTTCCAAGGAAAGTCAGAATCACATGGAGGGCTTCTCTGATTTGCTTGCTTTCTCTATGCCTAGTGCTCTGCGGTACAGATTCAGGACAGAATCACAGAAATGGTTCTGTACACGGAAGTTCTCCTTCCATCTGCTGCTTTTAGAATGAAATGTAGTTGTTGGTAAAGAGCGAAACTTCTGCCAAATGTTGTGTTGCTCATTTGGGAGAAAAAATTTGGGATGCTTTTCCCAAAGAAATACAGTCTTACATTTGTGAGTTTGGCTGCTTTCTCCCTAGGCAGACTGGCATATCATTATGGTTAGTGATAAAAGCAGATGCAGCTTCATTGCCGTGCTTTATGTCCCCAAGATACGGTTCAATCAGAGTGCAGATAGGCATGTTTGGAAAAGTCCTGTTTCCTAAAGAAGGTTCCTTTGAGTTCTCTTTTTGAATGAGGGATAAGCAGACAGAACAACAATGTTGTAAGTGTCCAGGTCACTCATGTAAAATAAATGAAAGAAAACCAACACTGAATTGTTCAATCACTGTTCTTCACTCACCAACTTCAAAAACCAGCTTTCCCCAGTAAAACCTACCCCTGCTAGCTATATATGGATCCATCACATTTCCTACTGCAGGGCTTGTTCTGGGCAGTGCAGCAAAGACAGTGAATGTTGTGAGTTAGTTTAGATGACACTTCACTGGAACATCTTTATGGTTTAATACTTTCAGGGCTGATTCCCTGTCAGTTGGAGGCACGGATAAGCTGATGTTAACAACAACACATCACGTTTTCTGAGAGCTTTAGGAATTATCCATAGGTGTTGACATCTATAGCAACAGTTTTACGCCCACCTCCTCTTTTAATTCAGGCTTGCTTTTCAAACACCAGCTTTTAAAAACTATGATCTGGTTTTCAGTGCAGGCAGTGAGAGGAATAATTTTAGACAATTCCAGACTCAGAATTTCTAAAAGAAGGCAAATTAAAGCCCTTCTGTATGTAATACCCCTTTCTGCCATTTGTTCCAATAGAGAATCGTAGAATAGCTTGGGTTGGAATGGACCTTCAAAGCTCACCTAGTTCAGCCCTTCTGCAATGAGCAGGATCTTCAACTAGATCAGGTTGCTCAGAACCACATCCAGCCTGTCCTTGGATGTCTCCAGGGATAGCACATCTACAAGCAAGATGGACTTAGGTGGGTGTTAGAGCAGGGAATGGTGATCAGGACTCTGGAGAGTATTTATAGCCACTAACCCAGGATGGTGGCCTGGTTTTTGTTCTCCCGGTTGGACTTAGGCTGCAGAACTTGGTCTGTTGGTGGACTTGGGCATGAAGCTAAGGGGTGAAGTATTGATTTCCACTGTACTCGGAGATGGGAGGAAAGCAGGGTTTGACTTTGGGCTCTGCTGCAGTTACGTGGATTTGCAGGAGCAGCTCAGGAAGTAAACCCTTCCAGGACCCGAGCAGAGAGCAGGGTGCTGCCACACCAGCTCTGCCTGGCTCCATTCCTGCTGAAGGGGGTGCACCTTTACCCATGCAGTACTGAACCATGGGGAACAAGGCAAGGACCCTCCTTAGAACATCTGGTAGCCCCAGTGCTCACAACAGAGGTGCAGGAGATCTGAATTGATAGTACTTGAGTCAGAGGATGGAGAAGTGCTCACTGTTGGTCCCTTGGGTAAGTTCATGGCTCATGCACTGGGCCCCTCAGTCTGGAGGCTATCAACCACCCGTGGTCCTGCAGCAGGACCTGGGTGCTGATGTCTTCTGCCAGTCTGGTGGAGCACTGAGGAAAGATGAAGAAACAGCAGTCCCAGGTGCAGGAAGGCTCATGTTGGTATAGACAACGGCTGTGCTGCACTTAGGTTGTGGGCAGTGGTCTCATCAGGGATGCAGCCACCCTCTGGGATGTGCCTGGGCTGGCACTAACCCATATGGACCTCTGCCTTCCAGGTCAAACCCCGCAGGAGGACAGAGCCTGGGACATAGCATTGTCTGTGAGCTGCCCATAGCTCAGCTGCAGAGCACAAGAGCGTGGCTGGATCTAGGTTGGGAATGCAGAGTTAGGACCTTTGGCATTAAGATTTTATTAGAATTACACAGTTTTGGGTCAATTAGCAGTGATCTGTCTCAGAAACAAATTTAATTCTAATAGGAAGTCACTAGCAACTGCTGATTGCAAATGGGAGTGTTTATGGATAAAGCCTCTCCTTTCCATATTGCTGTGCCTGCCTGGCTAGCTCCTCTTTGGCGTTTGTTGCTTTGGAATGGGTTTGTTATTTCATTTCAACCATTTCTTCCCCAATAGTTACTCCTTGCCAAGAATATCAAACCTGAGAACTGGGGAGAGCTTGCAGCAAGAAAACAGAGATGCCATGAGGAGCCTTGGTATGGGGGAATGAGAGGAGCGACTTGGACCTGGAGGGTGTTTGGACTGTGCTCAGCTGGAGATGGACACAGAGCAGAGCTAGCAGATGCAG